CCATCCCTGACCCCCAACCCACTATAATAACCCCATCCCTGACCCCCTCCCCACCATACCCTATCCCCAACCCACTATAATACCCCAACCCACTATATTAACCGCATCCCTGACCCCCTCCCCACCATACCCTATCCCCAACCCACTATAATAACCCCATCCCTGACCCCCTCCTCACCATACCCATCCCTGACCTCCCAACAATATATATATTTTATTCCTTCACTCTATTGTACTATATTACTCTTAATACACATCATGCTTGGCGGGGGAAAGGGTCTTGTGTAATTGGGAGTTTTGTGTTTACATTATTTTTAATTTTCCAAATATATCATTAAAGTGAATGTATCTTTATTACTTGTGTTTCCTCCATGGCCCCATATTAACCTCACCCCAAACCTCAGAATATTCTCACCACTGACTGAACCCCACAATAACTTCTAGCCTGACCCCAATATAGCTATATCCCTGATTGAACCCCACAATAACCTCTTACCTGACCCCAATATAGCTATATCCCTGACTGAACCCCACAATAACCTCTTACCTGACCCCAATATAGCTATATCCCTGACTGAACCCCACAATAACCTCTTACCTGTCCCCAATATAGCTATATCCCTGACTGAACCCCACAATACCCTCTTACCTGACCCCAATATAGCTATATCCCTGACTGAACCCCACAGTGCCCTCTTACCCGACCCCAATATAGCTATATCCCTGACTGAACCCCACAATACCCTCTTACCTGACCCCAATATAGCTATATCCCTGACTGAACCCCACAATGCCCTCTTATCTGACCCCAATATAGCTATATCCCTGATTGAACCCCACAATACCCTCTTATCTGACCCCAATATAACTATATCCCTGACTGAACCCCACAATGCCCTCTTACCTGACCCCAATATATCTATATCCCTGACTGAATCCCACAATACCCTCTTACCTGACCCCAATATATCTATATCCCTGACTGAATCCCACAATACCCTCTTACCTGACCCCAATATATCTATATCCCTGACTGAACCCCACAATAACCTCTTACCCACAGCCCCCAATATATCTATATCCCTGTGATTGAACCCCCACAATAACCTCTTGCACGGCCCCTATTATATTTATATCCCTGACTGAACCCCACAATACCCTCTTACCTGACCCCAATATAGCTATATCCCTGACTGAACCCCACAATACCCTCTTACCTGACCCCAATATATCTATATCCCTGACTGAACCCCACAATACCCTCTTACCTGACCCCAATATATCTATATCCCTGACTGAATCCCACAATACCCTCTTACCTGACCCCAATATAGCTATATCCCTGACTGAATCCCACAATACCCTCTAACCTGACCCCAATATAGCTATATCCCTGACTGAACCCCACAATAACCTCTTACCCAACCCCAATATAGCTATATCCCTGACTGAATCCCACAATACCCTCTTACCTGACCCCAATATAGCTATATCCCTGACTGAATCCCACAATACCCTCTAACCTGATCCCAATATAGCTATATCCCTGACTGAACCCCACAATAACCTCTTACCCAACCCCAATATAGCTATATCCCTGACTGAATCCCACAATACCCTCTTACCTGACCCCAATATAGCTATATCCCTGACTGAATCCCACAATACCCTCTAACCTGATCCCAATATAGCTATATCCCTGACTGAACCCCACAATAACCTCTTACCTGTCCCCAATATAGCTATATCCCTGACTGAACCCCACAATAACCTCTTACCTGTCCCCAATATAGCTATATCCCTGATTGAACCCCACAATAACCTCTTACCTGACCCCAATATAGCTATATCCCTGACTGAACCGCACAATAACCTCTTACCTGACCTCAATATAGCTATATCCCTGACTGAACCCCACAATACCCTCTTACCTGTCGCCAATATAGCTATATCCCTGACTGAACCCCACAATACCCTCTTACCTGACCCCAATATAGCTATATCCCTGACTGAACCCCACAATAACTTCTTGCATGATCCTTATAGAGCACTAAATTACGTGATTGAAAACCACACAATAACCTCATCTGTAATTGAACCCCGATACCTGCCCTATAAAATGTTGTGGTTATATCATCTGCCCTAATTTGTCAAACTAGAGGCCAATTCTGTTCTTGATCAATGTCTGGTTTCTATAGACCAAATTGATCTGTAGTAAATTTACCTTTTCAGGCCAGTTTCTAAATATCTAATAATAAAAATTTTAGTAATCATAATTGTCTTTCTCAAATTTGTAATTTCTCACATCTATATATTATTTCCAAACCTTACAATGCCTTAGCAACCCTGAATATTTGGATAAGATACCAGTTTAGTGTATATTTCCTAGTTAAGTAACACTGTAGGCACTATAACCATTCCATCTCATTGAAGTGGTTATAGTGTCTAGAGTCCTCTGGCACTGTCCCTCCATTCAGGGTTAAACCATTTTCAAGCAGTTTAAATAAGGGTCACTGGCCATCCATAGCCTGGCCCCCATTGTAGGTGTGGCCAAAGCAGAGATTACACACTTCCTTGTAGCTGTACCAATTTATACCAGCAATAAGGACTGTGATAGGCTGAATTATGCCAGCTGACACTCTCAACCACCCATTGCTGCTCAGGGTAATGCCTCCTCATTAGCCAAAAGCTGCACAGAAAGGGATGAGCTGCTCGATCATTTGGTCTTAAACCATTAAAACTGAATAGAAGGACAGCGCCAGGGTACTGCTGACACTACAACCACTTCAATTAGATGAATCGACTACAGTATCACTTTAATAATAAGTAATGAGATCTAATATGCAACAAGTTGAAATATCAAGGTAGAAAGTGCTGCCCCCTCTGAGATGTATAGATCGGAAATATACTAACCTGAAAATTGAGTTTTGGCAAATCACTCTCTCAATCTGCCACTCACATACTGCAGATCAATCTACCACTCACATACTGCAGATCAACCCACTATCTGCCACTATCACTGATATACTGCAGATCAATCTGCCACTCACATACTGCAGATTAACCCACTATCTGCCACTATCACTAACATACTGCAGACCAATCTGTCACTCACACTCCCCTTCAGCAAAATACCCAGTCTACCATTACACTCCAACACTCCATCACTCGCACTCAGATACAGCAAGTCACTCAATCCATCACTCACACTCAGATACAAGTCACTCAATCCATCACTCACACTCAGATACAAGTCACTCAATCCATCACTCACACTCAGATACAGCAAGTCACTAAATCTATCACTCACATTCAGATACAGCAAATCCCTCAATCCATCACTCAGATACAGCAAGTCACTCAATCCTCTACTCAAACTCAGATGCAGCAAATCACTCAATCCATCACTCACACTCAGATACAGCAAATCACTCAATCCATCAATCACACTCAGATACAGCAAGTCACTCAATCCATCAATCACACTCAGATACAGCAAGTCACTCAATCCTTCACTCACACTCAGATACAGCAAGTCAAGTCACTCAATCCATCACTCACACTCAGATACAGCAAGTCACACAATCCTTCACTCACACTCAGATACAGCAAGTCACACAATCCATCACTCACACTCAGATACAGCAAGTCACACAATCCATCACTCACACTCAGATACAAGTCACTCAATCCATCACTCACACTCAGATACAGCAAGTAACTCAATCCATCACTCACACTCAGATACAGCAAGTCACTCAATCCATCACTCACACTCAGATACAGCAAGTCACTCAATCCATCACTCACACTCCGATACAGCAAGTCACTCAATCCATCACTCACACTCAGATACAGCCAGTCACTCAATCCTTCACTCACACTCAGATACAGCAAATCCCTCAAATCTTCACACACACTCCGATACAGCAAACCACTCAATCCATCACTCACACTCAGCTGTGGAAAAGCATGCACTCAATGTGACACTTGGTTGCAGCAAAATTCTAACTGAATCTGTCACTCACATTCCGTTCGAGCAGATTTCTCATTCAACCCGTCATTCACACTCAACTACATCAATATCCTCCCTGAATTTTCCACTCACCCAAAGATATCTCAAATTACTGACTCAGTCCTGCACTCACACTCAAAGTTAAACAGCCCACTTTACTCAGATCACTCATTCAATCTAACACATTAATGGCAAATCATTCACTGGATCTGACACTCAAATTGCCACTCACACTCAGATCAAGTGTCACTCAAACATTTAATGCCAAGTCACAGAAATGATCGGTATAAATCAAATCTCAAGGAAGACTCGTGTAATGCCTTTCTAAACAATGTTTAAATGTATCTGTTTGTATCAAATTGTCTCAGAGAATTCTATTTACAAATCCTCAATGTAAATATTATTCATTTTCGCTTGTGTTTGGAACGAATTTCGTTACAAAAAGGCAACAATGATTTAACCAGAATAGCTGACATTAAATAAAGATACTTTATTCAGATAATGCAAGGATAATGTGGAAAGGTTTTAATGTTCTACAAAGCAGATTTGAATGAATATTTATTGGTGTATTTTCTGCCCTCAGCAGGGGGTAACAGATAAATTCAGTGCTTTTATTTCAATAATTCCTTTTCTATGAGGCAAGATGTCATTTGAAACTTTTAAATAGGTTTAATTAGCCTGAGTATGTATCCTGTGAGCAGCCCCTGCTGTGGGGGCTTCAGAAATTATCCCACAAAGGGCCAATATGCAGAATTGATGACTCCTGAGCCTTTGTTTTGAGCCCAGAGTACTGGTTTCCTATGAAGTCTAATCCAATCATAAATTGCACTTGGGAGCCAATCAGAGGGCCCAGGACAGCCCTGGTTGGGGCTGCATTGAAGGACTTTGCAAGGTTCATTGTTTGAGCTGTCACTTTTGAATGGGCTTTGGAGAACTGATTGCTATAAAACCCTTAGTCCAGGGTCCCAGACACACACTGTCCACTTGGGATTCTTGTGCAAGAGGAGAAGATACAGACCCATTTCTGGACCCTGGACAGGTACCTGCAGACAGTTAAGATGATGTTCCCCAGCCTTATAGCTCCCCCAGCAGTGTACCCCAGTCTCCTGAGACCGACCCCCACCATGAGTCTGCACTCCGCTTTAGCAAGCCACTCCAGCTTCCTTGTGGAGGATCTGATCAGAATCAGCAGGCCAGCAGCATACCTCCCCAGGGCTGTACCTCCACCCAGCATGTCACCCCCTAAATCTGACAGCCCCACTGGCATGTCAGACTGCAGAAGGGAGAACACAGCACAGAATTCTGCAAACACCAACGGTTCTACTTACCTGAAGTTTGGAGTCAATGCCATCCTTTCTTCAAACACAAGGACAGGTGAGTGTCAACCATGGAGGGGGGGTGGGGGGGGAGTATAACTCTGGAAAGGCAGGCAGTGAGACTGACAGACTACATGTTTCTTTACTGAACTGTGAATTGTGGTGAATTTAAAACCTTCATAAATGCAGATCAAAATAGCTGATCTTTGATAAATTGTAGTTTATCTTGGATATTTTATATTAAAATTAGCTTCACTACAGTACACAGTTTAGCAAACAAACCCTTCTATATTCAAATAGTAACCATTGATATTTTCAAACAATTAAAACAAAGCAAATATATACTGAGAGGCTAAATAATAAATGAATGGCTTACTGCTAAAATGAGAGTATTTTACACATTAACATCTTAGAATATGACATTAAGTTCATAGTAAATTAAGCATTGCAGGTACCTCACCCTGACAACTCCTAGCCTATAACTGTATACATTTCCTACCATTTCCAAAAGGGGACTGTTTCCTAAAGTAGGACACTTGCTATGAATGCTACCTGTCACATACAGAAGTATTATACTCCAACCACCCTAATATTTCTATATAGAGAGTGCACTGTTGGGGTCAGAATAGTCCTAGTTAGTGCTGGGCCAGTAATTGCTTAATTAGCATTTTAAAAATGGTATTTAGTGGTCAGAACCCCTTAAACCAAACAATTAAGGGTCTTATTACAGTCTATTTTTTTAAGCAGAGGGTAAATCGGTCTGTTATGTGTTATGACTCACAATTATATCCTTTACCACTGATTTCTATACCATTCCGTTTCAAAACCATTTGAGATGGTATATAGGAATTTTCCTGATGTAGGAATTTAGAATATTTGGAAATATAACCTCTCAGGGTATTGAGATACTTTAGGATATCCCCTTCTCCCGGTGCTGATGATCAATTGGAGGAAGGGGATACCCCAATCCTAGCTATTGGTGATACATATTGGGAATATAATCGGTAATGTTCCATCCCTAGCTATTGGTGGTACATATTGGGAATATAATTGGTAACGTTTCATCCCTAGCTATTGGTGATACATATTGGGAATATAATTGGTAACGTTCCATCCCTAGCTATTGGTGGTACATATTGGGAATATAATTGGTAACGTTCCATCCCTAGCTATTGGTGGTACATATTGGGAATATAATTGGTAACGTTCCATCCCTAGCTATTGGTGGTACATATTGGGAATATAATTGGTGACGTTTCATCCCTAGCTATTGGTGATACATATTGAGAATATAATTGGTAACGTTCCATCCCTAGCTATTGGTGGTACATATTGGGAATATAATTGGTAACGTTTCATCCCTAGCCATTGGTGGTACGTATTGGGAATAGAATTGGTAACATTTCATCCCTAGCTATTGGTGATACATTTTGGGAATATATTTGGGAATGTCCACTCCCTAGCTATTGGTGGTACATATTGGGGATATATTTGGGAATGTGCCATGCCTAGCTTTTGGTGGTACAATTTGCATTGTATTAAAGAATGTCCAGTCCCCATGTGTTGGTGATAAATAATGGCCTCTGGAAAGTTTCAACATTAATTTTGCCTCTTGGTTTCAGATACCTCTCCTGCTCTGATTTCAACCCTCTCTCCAAAGACCTTCTCATTCCCGTATTTTGATGGATCTCTCCAGCCCTTCATCAGATCTTCCTACTACCCAGGTATGTCTTTAGCCGCTTTCTGTAACTCTTGTTTGGGATAGATGTCCAATTTCCAGACCTATTTCACGCCTATTCCAGGGCTATTCCTCTACATCCCCCTCCGGGTCTCTGCTAAGGTCCGGGGACTAGAAAAAGGAGGATCCGGAGAAATCAGTCTCGCTAATTTGATACACTTTTTAGCACAAGCTCAGGCTCCTGACATTGTGTAGCAATTGCCTGATCTACAAATTAGCACGAATTGTCAGGCTGAAAATTTGAGGCGTTTCCTGCTCGGAGGGGAAACCTTGGCTCCTCTTCATGGCTGTTCTTTCCCACAGAGTCAGTGCACTTTGCCTGATTACCAACAAAGCATTTAGCACCATGACCAATCTGCCCAACCACACACAGACACCTACCAGCAATGGACTAATTCTCCATTAAGGGTCACCCAGTGTTCTAATAATTTCACAAGACCACATAGTGAGTTCCCTTGTGTGGGATATTAGCCGGTCCACTCAATGAACCAAACGTCCGTCCAATTAAAGGACAAAGTCAGGGTAATATATTAGACTTCAAATTGTAGCAAAGTGAATTCCAAGAGGCAAAATTAAGGCTAAATCAAAGCAGCGGATTTGGAGAAACTCTTTACGATGGCTACAATCGCAGATTAAAAGTTTTAGCCTGAATTTTGCTTTGAGATTTCATTTTGCTGCAATGTGACATTCAGTGGATTAGAATGACGACATGGTTATTTAACCCCTTAAGGACACACGACTGAAATATTCCGTCATGATTCACTTTTATTTCAGAAGTTGTGTCTTTAAGGGGTTAATAAAGTTTGACTTGTTGGAAATTGAAAATGTAATACAAAGTGAATTTCCTATTTTAGGCCAAAGTAGCTAAGTTAAAATGTAGCTTTCTGGGCCTAAATGTTGAATGTCTGACATTACACACGTCAGTGAATAGCTCTGTACAGTGACCGGAAAATAATGAATAGGGATTGCCATGTCCCCTAATATGTGAAGTTTATTTGTCTCTAAGTTTTAAATCTTAAACATACCCAAAAATGCCCTTTCCCCCTCCCTCACTGGCCCTAATAAAGGAATTTAATTCCATTCCAAACCTAGGGTATTTGTCCCAAAAACAACTGTTTTTTTTTTTTTCTCCTAAAAAGGGAAGAAAGGGGGAGGCATATAACTCTTTTTAAATGAATGATTGAAGGGAGAAGTACACTGCCCCTGTCACCGGAGTCCCACTGATGGCATTGGCATGCAGTTGTGTTTAGTTTCAAAGTGTAAAAACTCCTTTTGTCCCAATAATATATGGCTTTAGCCAAAGAGCCCAGTCTCATTCTGCCACTTCATTACTACACAATTACCATTCACGCCTCATTAGAAACACTGCTTCACTTTGCTTTGGCTCTAAGAAGGGTCTCTCTCCTTTTTATCACACAAATACATTGAGCAGCAAATAATTAGCTGCAGTTTCCATTTGGACAAACTATTTGTAGCGGAGTCTACTTCTTTTTAAAGAAAAGAGGGGAATGTATCCAAGATGGATGGATGGATACAGAGATAGAGAGCTGGTGGGATAGAATGATCCGCACAAAGAGGGCAGATCATATATATATTTTTTTTGCTATATATAAGATCTATTTTGCAGAATACTCTTTGCATTGGGCTGGGAAGGTTGGGCTCATAAAATAACCATTTATTTGGGGTAGTTACAGGCTGGGGCCTGATGGCTAGGATGCATCATGCAGCACTTTTTATTGAGGTGGGGAACCCAGAAAAGTGATGATTGGGGGTGGATCCACTTTTTGGTCTCAAACTGTTTGGGGTCTGAGTTTTGATGTGAGATTAGAAGAATCTTTGAAAATAATTAAGGTCTCAATATATAGAATTGAAATGTAAAAAATTAAAAGGGGCTCTTTTTATATTGATTTAATTTTTTTTTTTTAAATAGAACCTAGATTGCATGTTAGGTTTCTTTACACAGAGCTGGGCTCAGTATGAATGTACTTTAATTTAGCCTTCCAATCCTGCAATAGCTCCCTCTAGTGATGCAATATGTGCATTATGTCCCTGGTAGGCTGTTATAGTGTAAGCTGAATCTTGTCCTGCGGACACACCAGTTTCATATTCTAGAATTAAATAATGATAATGTCTGTCTTCTGATTGGATTTATCATTAATGTTTTATCTTCTTGTTTTCCAGGTTCGTCCTCGGTGGTTCCGATTCCCGGTACATTCTCCTGGCCCCTGGCGGCTAGAGGTAAACCGCGGCGGGGGATGCTGCGCAGAGCTGTATTTTCAGACGTCCAGCGCAAAGCCCTAGAAAAGATGTTTCAGAAACAGAAGTATATCAGCAAACCAGATCGGAAGAAACTGGCAGGGAAACTGGGCCTTAAAGACTCTCAGGTAGAAACCTCAAACCATTTACTGCGTTACAGCTGGGACCTAGGCAAGAACCGCCCCGTGTATTTATATTACTGCATGGCACAAGTTTACCAGCCATGGCAGCCATAGAGAAACTGGCACTAAATGCACAAACTCCAAATGGCACCATCTCCCAGTACAAGTAGTCTTTGCAAAACGACAGAGCCCTATCCACCCCACATATCTCACCAAGTTTAATCACTAAAGGAGGGTGGAATCCACGCCATTGTGCCAGGATTATTTACAAGTGTTAATTAACAGAAATATAAAACTGAATTCAAAGTAAATTTAAAATGATGGACCAATATAGTGATGCTGCAGCTTACCTGTAGAATTTTTCCAATATATGTAAAATTTATTTTTAATTCAATTTGAAACCCCAATAAATTGCTAATGTTAATAACCGTGCTCCGAGGACTTTTTCCCAGTCAGAAGTTAACTCCCTACAACACACAGTTTAGTAGATAAGCCCCTGTATTGTTGATGGGTGTTGTTTGTTGGGGAGAATTTCACACTAATTGTGCTGAGCTATTGGTCAAAAATAAATGAAACGCAAAGATAATATTTTTGGGAAACGGCAATAATGTTTAATTCACTTTGCTTTTTTTTGTATATTTTAGGTGAAAATCTGGTTTCAGAACAGGAGGATGAAATGGAGGAACTCAAAGGAAAGGGAACTTCTCTCTTCCGGAGGGAGCAGGGAGCAGACGCTACCCACCAAATTTAACCCTCACCCCGACCTCAGCGATGTGGGTAAGAAGAGTCTTGAAGATGGTGAGGAAGAGACTCTGTGCCCAGCTGGCAGCCCAAGGCACGTCTTGTCCTACGCGTGCTCTGACCTCCACCTTCGCCTGGACGCTCCGCTACCCTCCTCCCCCTATAACTCCAGCAGCCCCAGCAAACCCTCTGACTTCTCTGACTCAGAGGACGAGGAAGGGGCACAGGAGGAAGAGATCACGGTGTCCTAGCCCCCTGCTCCCCTTACCACAAGGACTTGTTAAATATATATATTATAATACGTGAATACAAATTGGAGAAGGAGTCTGTTCCGTATGTGAAAGTCACTCTGGGGCGGATGGAAGTGGCCCTTGTGCAACACACACATATTTGGGGTTATTTATGAAACGGTGTTAATGGTGCAATTCATACGCAATCAGTGTCTGGGCTCATTTATACTTCGATGGATGTGTAATCTAATTATTATTTTGCAGTTTTGTAGCAGATTATGTATTAACATCGGTGTAAATGTGCCCCATGTTTTTTTTACATTAGTTTATTGATTTACGATCCTCTGCTATCCTGTGTCTGGTGTTATCTGCACTGTAAGAAAAGTTACAACCACTCCTCAGTTTGTACTGATGTATAAAGTCCATTTTGATATCTTTTTATACAGGAGCAAAGGTAAAATGAAGTCCAAACAGTTTGTATTTAGTGTACTGATTGCACCATTATTTTATTTTTATTTTTTTATAAATCCCTATATATTTAGATGTTTGTACAATTTATTTGTCCTGCCAAAACTTGACTAGCTTAATGCAAGATGAAGGTGGCATCGTTTATGGCTGACCAGGAAATATTTTTGCCCCTTGAATCTTCCAATGTGTATAATGTACCAGAACCATTTTCATGGACCACGTTTCCAGAGGGACATCATTAGGGACGGACGCCTCTCTGATGTAATGCTCGCTGTGTGTACAGCTGATATGAACTGTACTATATTGTACAATATCTGTATGGGAATTTTATACCAATGGTATTATCTCTGGCTTATTGTCTTGCTTTTTGCATTTTTGTTTTTCAATTTTTTATTTTTTTTTACTCCAGTGTAGATTTTACTACTTAACTTATAAAGAAATCATATTTTGTATTTTATAAACGTACACATTTTAAATATGTATATATGAAATATTCAAGTGCCAAATAAAAAAAGTAGATCTTTACATTTGTATTATAGTGTTTCCTTATTTTTTTCATTAAAAAAAAAAATATCGTCATGCAAAATTAAAATGTTTACAAATACGCTCATCCTTCAAAAAAATAAAATTAAATGAAAAAAAAATAAATAAATAATACATAATATTCACTGGTTATATTGGTACAACAAAAACTATTTTTTTTGGTTATTAGCTTCTTAATCCCATGAAATCAGAATAAATTCCTAGATTGTACTATTTTACACGACGTAAAGTCATGATTTTATTAATGACACGGGGGCGAGTAATATGCTATTCTGTTTCATTATTTCCTGAGCAGCGAGGAAACAATGAGTGAAAAATAAACACACGAAAGGCTTAACAAAATATGCTTTGAAACACATTAACCGATCACTACACAGCATCAGCTAATTACCTGTTTAATATTGTTACAATAAAAAAATATTTATTTTAATGGTTATAAACTTCCTAAACTCAACAAAATTCTAATAAACCAAAAGTTACCAAAACTAATGGCATATTTTCAATCAATTCAACGTTCTTACAAACAGGCTTTACTGTAACGGCTCACGTGTATAAAGTTTGGAGATCTTCCCCTCGATGGAAGGTTTAATAGTTTTTTGTTTATTGGTGGACTGGAGTAATACGTTAACCGTGGTGAAGTAGAAACATTTTAATAGTATTTGTTTATTGCTATGACCGTTTCGGTCTCTGTATCCTTAATATTATTTAATAAGACTCCATTAAGCCCTGAATTATTCCAGATTATCTCGGGCAGTATACGTGGCCAAAAACAAGGCAATGCAGATTAGAGTCTGGAAGAGCAATGTCCACAGTCTAAAAGGTTTAACCCCTTAAGGACACGTGACATGTCATGATTCCCTTTTATTCCAGAAGCTTGGTCCTTAAGGGGTTAATCAGATTGCAAAATCTTCTCAATAACGTTAAGGAACTGAATCGGACTGTGAGCTCTTCTGGGCATTTCTTTTGGTTTTTGAGAACTCAAATTTTCTTTTAAAAAATTCAAATGAACTTCTAGTCTGTTCTTCCTCTTCAATCCCCAGCTGCTTTTCTCAATTTTTTCAGCTTTGTCTGCGTCTCTCCATTCATTGTCTCACCATCTGCAAGGTGAGCGAATTCACACACAATCCCCTTCTATCCATTCATTCACTCTCCATCTTCTGCTAGTCTTCCTTTTTAGTTTTAGTTACACAGGATGAAAAGAGACCTGCGTTCTTTAACTTCAGCCTTTCTTATGTCTTTAATTTTTGCTGTTGATCCAAAAGAAAGCAAAAAAAACTGATCAAAACTAGAATTCTTTCATCTCCATGAAGTAGCTGTTCCCTTTCCTAACCATTAAATACATGTATAGATTAGGGTGGGACTCGTCATAGCACCCAGCCACATGAGAGATGGTTGTAAGTTGCGTTGTGTGACCAAGGACGGTTTAGTTCTGCCGTTTAATAAAGGTTCAGCATGAATTGGTTTCCTGCTTTTTGCTACAATTGACCACTGGGCTCACGTATGCCACACTGCCCTGGTTAGAGGTTGTCCTAAGTGTTCAAGGACAAGATGTCTCGAAATTATCCTCTGCGAGTACTGTGGAGAATCTACTGCAGAGGATTTGCATTCCTGCTTTGTCAGTTATAACATATGAATGTATTACACTGCTCTCAGTTACCAGCTCTGTCCGTTATAAAATAATTAATTTATCACATGGCTCTGTTACCCGCTCTGTCAGTTATAAGATGGGAATGTATTGCTTGGTTCTTAGTTACCTGCTTTGTCAGTTATAAAATATGAATTTATTACACTGCTCTCAGTTACCAGCTCTGTCCGTTATAAAATAATTAATTTATCACATGGCTCTGTTACCCGCTCTGTCAGTTATAAGATGGGAATGTATTGCTTGGTTCTTAGTTACCTGCTTTGTCAGTTATAAAATATGAATTTATTACACTGCTCTCAGTTACCAGCTCTGTCCGTTATAAAATAATTAATTTATCACATGGCTCTGTTACCCGCTCTGTCAGTTATAAGATGGGAATGTATTGCTTGGTTCTTAGTTACCTGCTTTGTCAGTTATAAAATATGAATTTATTACATGGCTCTCAATTACCCGCTCTGTCATGTTTAGAATATGAATTTATTACATGGTTCTTGGTTACCCGTTCTGTCAGTTATAAAATATAAATTTATTACATGGCTCTCAGTTACCTGCTCTGTCAGTTATAAGATATGAATTTATTACATGGCTCTCAGTTACCCGCTCTGTCAGGTTTAGAATATGAATTTATTACATGGTTCTTCGTTACCCGTTCTGTCAGTTATAAAATATTAATTTATTACATGGCTCTCAGTTACCTGCTCTGTCAGTTATAAGATATGAATTTATTACATGGTTCTTAGTTACCCGCTCTGACAGTAATAAAATATGAATTTATCACATGGTGCTCAGTTACCTTCTTGGTCAGTTATAAGATATGAACTTATTACATGGCTCTCAGTAAGCAGCTCTGTCAGTTATAGGAATTTATCACATGATTCTCAGTTACCTGCTCTGTCCGTTATAAGATATGAATTTATCACATGAGTCTCAGTTACCAGCTCTGTCAGTTATAAGATATGAATTTATCACATGATTCTCAGTTACCAGCTCTGTCAGTTATAAGATATGAATTTATCACATGGCTCTCAGTTACCAGCTCTGTCAGTTATAAGATATTAATTTATCACATGATTCTCAGTTACCTGCTCTGTCAAGTAATAAGATATGAATTTATTACATGGCTCTCAGTTACCAGCTCTGTCAGTTATAAGATATTAATTTATCACATGATTCTCAGTTACCTGCTCTGTCAAGTAATAAGATATGAATTTATTACATGGCTCTCAGTTACCAGCTCTGTCAGTTATAAGATATTAATTTATCACATGATTCTCAGTTACCTGCTCTGTCAAGTAATAAGATATGAATTTATTACATGGCTCTCAGTTACCAGCTCTGTCAGTTATAAGATATTAATTTATCACATGATTCTCAGTTACCTGCTCTGTCAAGTAATAAGATATGAATTTATTACATGGCTCTCAGTTACCCGCTTTGTCAGTTATAAGATATAAATATATATCATGGTTCTCAGTTACCTGCTCTTTCAGTTATAAGATATGAATTTACCAAATGGCTCAGTTACATTCTCTGTCATTTATAAGATATGAATTTATCAAATGGCTCAGTTACCCGCTCTGTCAGTTATAAGATATGAATTTATACACATGGTTCTTAGTTACCTGCTATGTTAGTTATAAGATTTGAATTTATCAAATGGCTCAGTTACATTCTCTGTCAGTTATAAGATTTGAATTTATCAAATGGCTCAGTTACCCACTCTGTCAGTTATAAGATATGAATTTATAACATGGTTCTTAGTTACCTGCTATGTTAGTTATACGATTTGAATTTATCAAATGGCTCAGTTACATTCTCTGTCAGTTATAAGATATGAATTTAAAAAAACAAGGAATGCACACCAACTGATACAATAGTATCTAATCTATACATATATATTTATTGCAATACAAGTGGAAAAAATACATACAATATACAATAGTGACCACATAGGCTAAACAACTAAACAGGTATATTTACCAAATTCCACAAGCCTATCTGGGCAGAAACACGAATCATTCCTTGTTTTTTGAGTTATTATTATATTGGTATTTGTGGGAGTACTGCTTTGGAGTAGCACCCTTAATTGAAGTGGTGGTTATATTAAGTGTCTCTCCACGCAGTATATTTTGAATAAGATATGAATGTAACACATGGTTCTCAGTTACCAGCTCTGTCAGTAAGAAGATATTCATTTATTACATCGTTCTTGGTTACATTCTCTGTCAGTTAGAAGATATAAATTGATTACATGGCTCTAAGGTATTAGCACAGGCCTATTGACATGTTGGGCTATAACCCATATAACGCACTTGCAGCTGTGGACAATGAATTCTGCCTATGAGAGCCACTGGGGTGTATTTCC